ATCTTCTTAAAGCAGTCCCTTTAGCATATTTTGCAATGCTGGTTTGGTGGAGGTGTATTCTTTTAACCTTCTTTAATCTAGGAAACTCCTTATTTCACCTTCCATTTTAATTGAGAGCTTTGCTGGGTAGAGCAATCTTGGTTGCAGGCCTTTGCTTTTCATGACTTGGAATAGTTCTTGCCATTCCCTTCTGGCTTGCAGCGTTTCTTTTGAGAAGTCAGCTGCTAGCCGTATCAGAGCTCCCTTATACATTACTACCTCTTTCTCCCTTGTTTCCTTTACGATTCTCTGTCTTTGATATTTGCCATTTTAATGATGATGTGTCTTGGGGTGGGCCTCATTGGGTTCCTCTTGAATGGGACCCTCTGTGCTTCCTGGACTTGTGTGACTTTTTCTCTCCTCCAATCAGGGAAGTTTTCCATCATTACTATTTCAAACAGGTTCTCTATCCCTTCCTCCTCCTCTTCTCCTTCTGGTATCCCTATTACACGGAAATCATTACGTTTCAGGTTGTCCTGCATTTCCCTGAATGCCTCTTCATTCTTTTTCAGTCTTTTTTTCATTTTCTTGCTCTTTCTGGGAGCTTTTTTCTACCTTATCATCCAGCTTGCTGATTTTTTCCTCAGCTTCATCTAGCCTACTTTTGATTCCTTCTACTCTGTTCTTCAGTTCAGAAATGGTATTCTTCATTTCCTCTTGTGTCTTATTGATAGTTTCTATGTCCTTTCTCATGCTGATATAGTTTGCAGCAAGTTCCTCTTAGTTTCCCTGTAGTTTTTGGTAATTCTCTCTGAGCTCACTGAGCTCATTGAGCTTCCTTAGAACTGTTGTTTGGAACTGAATATCTGATAGTTTACGTGCCTCTATTTCCTTTAGTTCTCTTTGTGGGGATTCCTCCTTTCCCTTCAAGTCGGGGGTATTTCTTTTTCTTCCCATTATTTGTGAGGCTCTTCTCTTGTTAATTAATTAATTAATTTGCTTCTTAAATTGATCTGTCTTGATTTCTTGACTTTGTGGTGTGAACTTCTATGGTAGGAGGACTCTGTTTTTTCTTTTCTGGATCTGTCTCTGATGATGTCAGATGTTGACCCTGTCTGACCGTAGGCAGTCTGTTCGAGACTTCTAGGAATCTACTATCTGTAGCTGTCTACTTCAACTGTTAATCTAGACACTCTGCACTCAGCAGAGAACCTTAGACACCACAGGGTAGGGCAGAGGCCCTCCTGGGGTGGGGGGTTATTGGGTCCTCTCACACTGCTGCCGCTCAGGGGAGTGGTCTGCCTGAGTCAGATGGCTGCTGACATATAGGGGAGGAGTCAGCGCTGAGGTCCCGCAGGCTACTCTCTCAGTTCTATCCCCAAAGGCTCCTTCCGCAGTCCCTCCTCAGGCGTCTCCAGCCCACTCTGCCCACGCCTTTGCTGAAGTCCAGGGCAAGTGGCTGCAAATAAAAATTTATGCGTTAGCCCTTAATTGACTCTCTGCATCCCCAGCTACCTGTCTCTGGCAGAGCACAACCCTGCCACTCTTTGCAGCTAGCTGTTATCTGTGTAGTTTTGGGGCTCTGGTGCTGTAGGCTGGACATCCCCGCCTATGATTTATGCTCTTCTCAGGGGGATGCAGCTGGCCGTCTCAATATCCGCCTGGTGCTGCCGCCCTTGCGTGCTCCACTTTCCCTCTCGAGTCTCTAGTGTACTCCTTACCAGTTAGGTTGTGCTAAAGCTGATTCTTCTGTCTGTCCAAGGTTAAAAGGCTCCTATCTTGCTATTGTTCAGTTGATTGTTCCAGGTGATTTCTCCACAATTTAGTTGTAATTCCAGGATGGTCCTGGGAGGAGGTCAGTGTGACTTCCACTCACTCCTCTGCCATTTTTAGTCTCTGATTCACTTCTTGTAAAAATAGGAAAAATTAAAAACCTCACAGTGAGTGGGCAGGAGGATCATGAGCAATGCATGGATTGAAGGAAGTAGTGTTTGACTGGTAGCTGGGACCAATATCTTGCTCTTAATGAGTCCACACAGACTGGAAAACAGCTCATGCATGAAGCTGGAAGGTTTGCTAGAGGGATCTGAAAGTTTGGTTGGGGATGTGTCAAAAGCAAAAGCAAAATGAAAAGTTGAGAGAGCAGAAGTCATTCAGGAATAGCAAGCTATTGCTATTTGCTGCTTTGATCTAAAATGGTGGCCACAGGAGTCAGTCAACACCCAGCCCAGGAAGGCAGACCTCAGGCCAGCACCCACTGGCCTGGGTTACCTGGCAAAGATGTCAGTGTGCACTGAGCATGGGGGACAGCCCAGCCAGCTTCTTGCAATTGAGATGACTAACAGATCATGGAACTGCACAAGAGGAGGCACTGAGACAAGCCTGTATCTGGGGCAAAATTAATAGATTGCCGTACCTCACCAATGCCTAGTGACAGTAGATACATTTATAGTGAGTCTGGATAGTTCTGTGTAAACTCGTCCACCTTCCCCAGCCTCGTTTAGGCTTGCCTGGGATTCTGGCCAGTCAGTCAGGGTGCTGCAGGCTAACCGTTGAAAAATCTCACAATAAAATCTCAAATTCAAAGCCACATGGCCCCTACTAAAGAGGAATCTCCTTTAAGTCCACTGAGAAAGGAGAGCTCAGAGAGGCTCTCATCTGCCCCTTTGCTGAAATCGCAGCCTTGACGAATAACACTGTACACCCAAAGCATTCAGTGAAGTGAGTGGCTGTCCAGCTGCATGCAGATTTGAGACAGCAAGGGTGGCACCCGCTGCAACAATTGGATCCACATGCAGTGAGGCTGCCATTAACATCCCACAGGGGACTTCTGGGATCTACTTTGTCATTGAGGAGCTGGGTGGTTTCCTAAATTGGAATTGAGTGGGGAACATTGGCTTGGATGCACTAATGGGTGTCTGAAAAGTTCTGTGAGAGCTGGAGAACCTTGTCCTTTGTCAGTGGTTCCTGATATTACATTTAGCATCCAGGAGTCACTCCCTGCTTTCTCCACCTCCTGCTACCTTAGTCCCAACAGGTTAATGGCAGACGTACAATTAAATGAATACTCCAGGAGCACACATAACCTTACACGTATTCCAGGCCACTGTGACTCATAGCCTCTGCCCCCCTTTCCTTCCTATCCTCCAAACCCATCCTTCCCTTGCCTGGTTCTACATAGACTTCACAATCATTAAAGCTGTCTTCCAATCCAAGACATCACGAACAGCACGTTGGGCCCAGCCACAGCTATCAGTATCCCTGCACAGGATCCTATATATAAAACCCACACTCAGTCATTCCTTATTGATCCATTTTATACATTTCTATTTTCAATATATTGGATTTCTTTGATCTTTTTGGGAGAATGTAGGAAAGACAAATTTCAGTTTGGGCTCAGTGACTTCTTTGTGGGCTGCTCCATATTGATTGAGTGAATGACCAGGACAGCATGTGGCCTGATCATTTCAAAAGGAAAGGCAAAGAAGTAGGCAAGCCCCCTCACTAAGAGTGGTGGAACCCCTTCTGTAAGGATGAGGCAGTCAGTGTGCTGCCCCCTGGTGAATTAGGGCAGTGGGTAGGGAGGCAGCTGGGTATTCACAAAGGGGCTTTGCATATGCCTTTCAGCTGAGCAACTCTGAGCAAGCCCTACTCCCTCCCTGGGTCTCCAGGTCTCTGTCTTTAATAGGACAAGGTTGGACTCCCAGGGCTCTTCCAGATCTGCCCTTTGTGATACCAGCTACCAGTTAGTGAGGATCTGCTAGGTGCCACAGAATCTATCTATTCCACATGAGAGTCAGAGTAGTGTCATAAGATGAGAACTGAAATTATGCTCATTTTACAAATGAAAAAACTGCAGCTCAGAGATGTTAAGTGGCAAGGCCAACATGTAGCTGTGTCTGCCTCGGGACCAGGGCCCTATGCCACACTGCCTCTACCTGTGCTCCAGGTCACTGATTCTCACCGTGGCTGTCCATTTAGAATCACCCAAGGAGCTTTGAAAAATATCAGATGCCTGAACCCCACCCCAGATGAGATGGAAGCAGTTCGTTTGTGGTGGGAGAAGTTGAGAATCTGGATGCTTCTAAATGATTCTAATGTGCAGCAAGGTCTCAGATGTGCAGCTCTGGGAGCTCTCTTTTGATATTCAGTCTACCATGAGAGTCATGACAGTTGTTGTGCTAGCATGCCTCCACACACATATTGTCTACCCAGTGAGCCAAAACCAAAGGAACAGTACTGGGTGCCCCAGTGAGACTTCCAAAGTTAAAAGGGGGTTCTTACTACATGAAAAAAAATGCTTGAACAGAAATATATCTATTAGACTGTTGGCATTTAGGTGATTTTCAAGCCCCTCTTCACCTACTCATATCCCTCTACTTCACTCCACTCTTTCTCTTTTACTTTCATGTCATAGCCATTAACATAACAGCTACGGATGACTATAAAATGTGAAAGAGTAGGAAATACTGCATTACAGCTTTGTTCCTAAATGTATCATCTTATAAATTGTGGGTAGCTCCCCCAATATGCAGATTGCAGATTGAGATCTCTTCCTGTTGTTTCATATCTCCTCAACCTGAGGATGCATCTGCAGAGAATTTCTTATTTAGATAGCTTTATACTCTTTTGTGTTATATCCCCATTCCTATTAAAAAGTCACTCCCATTAAAAACAAGGAATACAAAATATAGAGAATAGAAAGGGGATTGCCAGTCCTCCCCAAGAGGTCACTATCCCAAACATTTGCATTATATGTTCTCCCAAGTTATGTTTCTATCTCACAGCAATAAATGAAACACGGCAGCAAAGAAACAAGCATTATGGTTCCAAATATAGGCTGTACTGTAGAGTTTTGACAATTTTAAGTCTTGAAACTGAGATATATTTTATCTTGCAAGTTTGCTGTTCATTTACTTTATTGTACCAAGACTTTATAAAAACCTCTCTCCCTCTCTCTCTCTCTGCCCCCCCCCCTCCCTGCCTCTCACTCTCTCACTCTCATTCTCTTTCAGCCACAGGGAACCATTAAGAGGAGACAGGAAGGAGACAACTTCCAGCTTCCAGGCATGGCTGACGGGGGTTACCCTCATAAAATCAAGAGGCCTTGCCTCGAAGATGTTACCCTTTCTATGGGCCCAGGTGCCCATTCTAGCACACCCTGTGCAGACCTGCAAGTTCCTCCATTGACAATGAACACTAGCCCTTCAGCTATGGGAGCAGCAGGCCATTCATTACTACTTGAAAATAATCCCATGAATGGCAGAGTAATAGACCAGCCATTTATGGTACCACCGAGTGCAGAAATGAGACTCAAAGGGCCCACCATTCCTTACTACGACAAAACCAACAGCATGATGGCTATGGAGCAGGACCAGGAACTTCAAGATCTGCTGGAAGAGCTAACAGAAATTCAGGGCTCTTCTCCAAATGAGCTAGATCTTGAAAAGATACTGGGGAGCAAGCCAGAAGAACCACTGATCTTAGATCACTCCCAGGCAACCCTGAGCACAACTTGCAAGCCTTCGGCTCAGATGCCACACTTGGAGAGCTTTGATTCCAACAAGGAGTTTGCTTCTGGTTGCAGCCAGGTCACCGGCGTGTCACTTCAAATCCCACCCTCCTCCGCAGGGATCAGCTATACTATTCCCTCTGCCAGTAAGCAGATGGTCTCATCCAATTCTGCAACAACACAAGCCAAGAGCCAAGTCCAAGCAATGCTCCCCATGGCTTTGCCCCCACTCCCAGTGCCTCAGTGGCATCATGCCCACCAACTGAAGGTGTTGGCAGCCAGCAAGCAGGGATCTTCTACAAAGCAGCCAGGGCCCACTTCTGGTTGGTCCAACCTGACTCCTCTAGGCCTCTCCCTACCTTACCGCCCAGGGCCATCACCACACCCACCACCACCTTTCAACCCGCAGAGCCTCATGGTATCCTGCATGTCATCCAGCAACCTGCCAGGGAGTGCTCTCCAAGGATCTTCCAATGCCTTACTCTCAAGCATGGTGTCCAGCAGCAGTGCTGCCCTTGTGCCCACCATGTCCTGTGCTCCTGAGAAGCTCCCCAGCCCAGCTCTCAATCAGCAGCCGCAGTTCAGCCCACAGAGCTCCATTCTTGCCAACCTAGTGTCTTCAACCATTAAAAACCCTCAAGGCCACCTGATGTCTGCTCTGCCGACCAGCAACCCAGGGCCCTCCCCACCCTACCACCCAGAGAAGCTCTCCAGCCCAGGTTTGCCACAGCAGTCCTTCACTCCGCAGTGCTCCCTGACCCGGAGCCTCCCTCCCAGTAGTAATCCGCTAAGTCAGCGCCAGCAGCAGCAGCAGCAACAGCAAACAAATGCCATCTTCAAGCCCATGATCACCAACTCACCCAAGACCCTGAGCATGATCATGCAGCAGAGACTGGCCAACTCAAGCCCAGGAGCCCCGGAGCCTTTTACTTTTGGCAACACCAAGCCTTTGTCACATTTTGTTTCTGAGCTGGGCTCCCAGAAGTTGGCTTCCATGTCTGCCAACTCTAGGCAGCCTTCCCTGCTCCACTATCTACAGCAGCCTATGCTGACAGAGGCATCTTCTGCCACTGCCTCCTCCATGGCCACGGCCACCTTGCAGTTGCAGCAGCAGCAGCAGCAGCAGCAGCAGCAGCAGCCGCAGCCGCCTGACCGTTCTGCATTCCTCCTGCAGCAGATGATGCAGCAGCCTCAGGGCTTTCAGCGACCAGTAGCCTCGCAGTCCATACCTCCTCTGCCCAGACAGGTAAGACAGTGTTATATCTGGTTGGGTTCCTTCATTTTGGAAATAAGAACTGTGGCTCATGCTATTGATACCTGGCTTTGGAGGCAAATCCAGGCTCTAGTCCTCCCTGAGACTGGACTTGACTCTGGAAAAGTCTATTGAAACCAGCTAATTCTGCCTGATTGAAGCACAGAATTAATTAGTGCAAAGTTATGGTTTCAGTTCTTGTGTAGGAGGAAAAACTACACCCACAGGTGCTGCCAGGGGAAGGAACCGGGGGTGAACAGTCACAATTGCACAGAATTGCCTTCCCCTGCACTGGGTCATGGAGTCTGTTCCCTCGCACAGGACCAGTGAAGGCTTCATAAGATGCAAGTAAATTGCACTGAAGCATTTAAATCTTGTCCCTGCTGGTGTAAGGTTAAACACCGAGCCTTCTAGAAATGCCACAGCAGACTTACGCTGGGCAGCTCCAGTGTACTGCTTACCCCACTGCTCTGGATGCTGAAGCAGGTCCGAAATGGAAAGGACAGATGAATGTAAGGTAGTTTGTCTTACCATCTCCATTTTGCACACAAAGAAGCAGAGGCTCGTAGAGCTGAGATGACTTTCCCAGAGTCACACAGTTATCAGGGCAGAGCAGCAACTTGAGGCCAAGCAGTCTTGCTCCAGAGCCTATGCTCTTCTCCAAATTACTGTGACTTTTCTCTCCTTCATTTATACAGCCTTATCAGTCACTAAATTCAGCTGATTCTTCCTGGGTGGTGCCTATCACAGTTTCCATTTTTCATTGTTCTGAAAACTATCTGTATTAGTTACCTATTGCCATGTACCAAATTATCCCAAAGCATCTACTTCAAACAACATACATATATTATCTCATGGTTCTGTTGGTGGGAATCCTAGCACAGCTTAGCTGGGTCTTCTAGCTTTGAGTCTCTCATAAGGCTACAGTCATCTCAAGGCTGAAGCTCACTGTCATGGCTGTTCGCAGGAAGCAGTTTCTTGTACGTTGTTGGACTGAAGCCTTAGTTTGCTGTGAGCCATTGGCCAGAGGTCTCCCATGGTTCCTTGGTATGGGGTCCTCTTCATAGAACATCTCACGATACGGCAGCTGGCTTCATCCAAGTGAGCAAGAGAGATGTGCCGGCAAGGGAAGCAGGGGTGGGGTGCCAGGAAGCCAGAAGTTGCAGTCTTTATAACTTAGTTTTGAAAGTGACGTCCCATCACTTTTATTGTATTTAGTTCATTAGATGCAAGTGTGAAGGTGTGAATACCAGGAAGCAGGGATCACCGATGTCTGCCAGAACACTGTTTCTATGGTCATTCTTTTCCACTGCCCTCTTCCCTGCCCATGTTTAAACCCTCTTGGTCCTTTTTCTGAACTCACACAGTTCATTGTTACTCTTACATTGTTCACTTTTATGTTGGTTTCCCTCAATAAACCATCCATTACTCTAAGCATTACTTTGCAACAATAAAACCCTGATCCTGTTTCATACTTGCTCAGAAGTTTCCAGAGGCTTATAACCTGGATCCATCTACTTCCTTAGGAACATCCAGTGGGCCCTACCTGGACCTTCATTTCCAAAAGCCAGAAGTGCTTGCGGCTCCTGGCCTGGTCTGCGTTCTTGGCTTTTACTCCCACGGTTCTCTCTGCCTGGCCTTCTCTTACCACCTTGTATTTCCTGTCCTGTTCTTAGGCTCAGGCACCTCTCCAGGAAGCTTTTCCTTGACTGTTTTTGGTAATTCTGTCTTCCACTCCACTTTCCTCTTCTGTAAAGAAGCCAAGGAGGAGATGGTCATGAAGTGTTTGGCCAGGGACCTAGCCCAAGAAAAACACCTGTTGGGCCGCCCTCTTTTCTGAAGGCCCTGGATGAGTGTGACCCTGGCAGCCCTGGGAGGACAGAGACTGTCTTTTTCATCCAGGTCTCATGAAGCATAATCAAGCAGAGTGTTCCACCCCAGGGAATTGGTCCTTCAGTGGATGTACACAGCAAGCAGAGCTCTTGTGGGGGTGTCCAAGAGGAACAGCAGGCCCTTTTCCACAGTTCAGGGGCCTTTGGTTTGATTTTGTTATAGGCTATTGCCATCTTTTTTCATTGACTTTAGTGGCTGTCTCAGTGAACTGCCAGTATCAGTACTGGAACTCCTACCCTAGCAGGCAAGATCCTCAGCCTGGAGATGTGTTACCATCTAACACTGTGAGCCTTTTGGTTTTTTATGTCTTCAGTGAGATGCATTGTAGCCTGACTGTGTTGCCTTAGAGTTGGCTCAGAAAGAGAATTCTTAATGAGTGCAGAATTCTTAAAAATTACACCCAACCAATTACCAGGTGGAGAGGAGAAACCTTTCAAAAGAAAGACGAAGAAGACAAGCTCCCCGAAGCTAGGAAGGGCTCAGGTGGCCTCCACCAGCAGAAACATGAGTCTGGACTCCCCAAATGGGATGCTCTTGCTGCCAAGAGCTGCCTTTCCAGCCAGCACCAGCTAGTGCCCAGGGGCCAGGCATGCAACCCGGTACTTTACCTGTCTTTTCTGATTTTAATCCTCAGAAGTACGGGCTATGATCATTACCTTTAAAGCTGAGAAGATTGAGGCACAGAGAAGTCACCGGAGCTACCCACAGTCACACAGCAAGTCAGGGCCAGAGCAGGAGGTCTGGCTACAAAGTCCACATTCATATCCCCATGCATGGAACACTGCCTCTGGTGGCTCTGTTCCTGTGTTAAACTTCTAATCATTGCCTGTTCTACAAAATGGGCATGATGATAGGTTGTTTGAGGATTAAATGTGTTACTACATCTAAATTGCTTCAAATAGGGTTTGACACAAAGTACCTGCCAAAAAAGGTTTGCTGTAACTATGACTCTTAACTCCTGGACCTGAGAGCTTTAGATCTGTTTTCTGGGAGCTAAAATATGACTATCAAAACCGGTGTTGTGTCAGGACAGAATGTGCACAGTGCTCTCTCCAGACTCAGTGCTCGCCATGAGATTGATAGGAGCTGTGGAGCCTCCTAGCCTTATGGCTTCTTCCTGTTCTAGGCTCTGCCCCACCTAGACAACTCCAGGCCAGGTGGAAAAAGAAAAAGAGCCATCTTTGTTCAGCTGGCTGCAATTCCCCCTACATTCTTTCTGGAGCTCATACTCTCAAACCACTCCTCTACACAGCACTCTGTTTTGTCCATGGTGTTATTCTTCTAGCCAAAATGCACTGACCAGGCCTCCAAGCTGAGTGCATAGACAGCTCTTCTGTTCCTTTCCCCATTCACTTTAAGGTCTAAGAACTCAGCCCTGGTCAGTCTTCAAGGGACAAGAAAAAAGAAAACCAGCCAGGGCTCATCACAGATTTCTTTACAAAGGTTACTCCTGCTGAAATGCAAGAGCAGAGGTCTCTGGGAGAAGCCCTGGGCTGCACTAAGGAAAGAAGGTGTTGGGGGGACAATTCAGGTTTCAAAGAGCCCATGGGTCCTTTCCGACTGGGGTCTTGTCCTGCTTACATCTTATCTATGAGACACAACAATAGCCCTGGCTGGTGTGGCTCAGTGGATTCAGTGCCGGCCTGTGAACCAAAGGGTTTCTGGTTTGATTCCCAGTCAGGGCACATGCCTGGGTTGCAGGCCAGGTCCCCAGTAGGGGGCACTCAAGAGGCAACCACACATTGATGTTTCTCTCCCTCTTCCTCCCTTCCCCTCTCTCTAAAAATAAATAAATACAATCTTAAAAAAAACAAGACAATATTTTACTGAACAAGTATCTTTTTCTGTACTTAAGCATGATTATACATACAAGCTTAGTTTTTACTTTCTAAATTGAGCATCAAAGAACTATTTACTTTGGAGAAAATTTTTGGCTGCTTTGGGAAGAAATATAATTAGACACAGTGTAACATATATTTTGAAAATTTAGGGACCAGGGTCTCAGTGTTGAACAAGCTTTGTTTTAACTACTTTGAATTGGTTGGAAATGAAATTCCATATAGGCTGTTGAATTTGGGAAATGCATGCTTCAGCACTTGGTACTAATGTTACCAAAAATTAGATTTTTTTTCCTTTTTAGTTTCTGAGAACCATCCATGATCCTCTACCTCTTTGCTATATGAGCTTGTGGTCAAATGGTAACCTTTTAAACATCAACCTTTATTTCTGTCCAAAGTTGAAGAAGGAGTGAGATGACATGTAACAATGAAGAGGGGTTACTTTTAGGCCCTGGAGTAACCAACCATCACTCAGTGAGGTCAACACTAAAATTTACAGGGATGCAAAAATCTCCCTGATACAGATGCCTGAATGATACATATCAATCAATCTAGTTTTATAATTGCTTACTAACTGATTTATGAAACCTGAAAAGGTAACCCTTTTCAGAAGCCTCCTATCAAGTTTTTTACTTGTTCATTTTGTCTTAACATACCTGAAGAGAAACAATGAACTTTTCTGAAGTTGGGGTACCCAAAATGGCACATTTTAAAAACAAAGTGTATAAATCATTTTATACCAAATTCATTGAAACAACCTGCTTATTTGTCACTATAAAACAAGGAAAGGAATCTCATTTCCATTTTGAAGGAGCAGAAGAGGGCAGACATTCATCGTTACATCATGTTCCTTTAAGCTGTAACTACGCATGAATGTGTACAAACCCAAAATGTAGAACAGCACAGGGAGAAGTGGTCATATTCCAGATTATGACCCTAAGTGAAAGTTAGCAAAATATAAAAAAATGTCCCAGGCAGATGGAACATCACAATGGATTCGGTCTGTTCAGCTGTGGCCCTAACTCCTACAGCCAGCATTGTCACTGAGTGCAGGAATGGATGGTGCTAGAGTGGCCATGTGAGTGAGAGATGTGACCAATCCAGGAGAGCAAGGGATGCAAATGAAAATGGCTGGACTTCATCCCTCTCCTTCCTGCACCCTCCCCAGCTTCCCTCTCTCAAATCCATTAATGGCCCATATCACAGATTCATGGTAACCTTGCTTACATTCATGTGTACTTGTAGCCTCCCCAGTCCCTTGGG